AGTCTTGGAAAGGTTCTTATAAAATCAGATATAGAAACACGCCTCCAACAGTTTGACTTCAGTGGTTTGTGTACATATTTTTCACGATTCCTTGAAAGGCCATCTCCTGTTTAGTTGCATAAACTGCAGCGTTGAAGTCAAACTTTGAAGATACAAAAATAATATTAAAACATGTTATTGGATAAATGATGATTTTATAAATATTTTCATTACGACCCCGCCGGTAAATCAGTTTGCGTGTACTGTTAAACCACCGACATGCTAACCCCACAGATGACCTTTCTTTCGATGTATTACAAAAACAATTCACAAGCGATAATAGTTTGGAGTTTGTAGACGTTTTTATCTGTGTATAGCTCAGTATTTCTGGACACTCGGCCACGAACTCTGAACATATCCATACAAATATAGTATTTATTTAAGCATTGTAATACTATGTAAATTGAAATCGGATCCTCGATGCATGGAGTTTCAAACAGTCCCTGGATGTGCATTGTCCCCCGGTTTTCATACCTGCACATGTCGCGTATAGGTGTTTGTTTGTTGTAAATTGATACGTAACTTTGCATCCGGGCTGTGTACGACCCGACCGCCTTCCGTGACAGCGGGTCACGTCGACGTCACGAAACCCAGCTACATTACGACGGCAAATTTAGACTTGGAACAAGTAGACAAATGGCCAAAAATCAAAGTTTATGTTAAAGTATGGGAGTTACGATCGCCTAAGCGCTAAGATCGCTTTGTGGAACCGGGCCAGCATGGCCTACACCCAGGGCCCCCCCCCCCCCCAACACACACACACACACACACACACACACACACACACACGCACGCACGCACGCACACACACACACACACACACCCGTACGAGGGGACCTAATGAAACGGGTGATCAGGTTCGGCCGTATGCCCAAAAACGTTAAGAGATGGTACTTGTTGTTACCCTGCCTGGTGTTAAAACAAGGACTAGTCGGCTCGGAGGAAGTACACTATGTTTATGGCATGGTAGCGCTATGAACCGGCATTAATCCGGACTAGTACAAGCATACACACACATAGATACACATACGCACGCACGCACGCACGCACGCACGCACGCACACACGCTCGTGTCGTATGAGGCGACCTCTTGAATCGGTTGATCAGGTTCGGGAACTAGGTTGTGTGTCATCGTATACCCCGACGACATGGATAGTTACTCATAATATCAACCACTGTTTATTTCTGGCCTGGTTTCAGTTAGTTACAGACCGTCGTCATGTCTGGAATATTGCGGATTTAAAAAACAAACAGGCATAACTGAAGTGAAGTGACATCGTTCGATATTCGCCACTTTCTCGGCCATTAATTAAGCTGACAAGACATCATCTGCGGGACTGTAACGATTAATAGAACGATCAATTCATATTGCGATTGTCCCTGGGTGCGGTAACTATACATCGACGACAGGTTGAAATATCGATTGTTTAAATCGATACAATATTGTCTATCGATGGTTTCAATAAACAAAGAAAACCACGCGTATAATCAATAGCCCAATAATTGACACACTCCTTTATCTTTGAGATAGTCAGACTATCGGCACAACTTCACGCCCGTACCAGACTTTGACGAAGTAGTAATGTTATCTTCGATTTTACAGTGTATTTTATATCCATAAAATTATCATACATACTTTGTATCTGTAGTGGCGAATCAAGGGTATTTATCCTGCTAGAATGGAAAAATAATATACTGGGTAATCGATTATGAATGAAGGTATATACCTATGCCAAACAATAAGCTTTAAACCAGTCAGTGCTAGTCTCACCCGTGAAGATCCGGGTTAGAATTGATCTTTAGCAACCCGTGCATGCTCGTCGTCACAGCAAAAAAAGTGTAGGTTTCCGTCTTCCGGAAACCTTCCGGATACCTTCCCATTTTGGATCCGGCCCGGATACCTTCCGGAAACCTTCCAAAAAAAATGTCAAAATTTGGGGGGTGCATTTTGTTCACTTAAGTGTGAAACATAAAAAAATTAACTTGAAAATACCAAGCAATTTGAAGGTTGTTGAAGGCATCTGGAAGGTTTCCGGAAGGTATCCGGGCCGGATCCAAAATGGGAAGGTATCCGGAAGGTTTCCGGAAGACGGAAACCTACACTTTTTTTGCTGTGCGTATGAGGCGACTAACGGGATCGGGTGGTCAGACCCGCTGACTTGGTTGATACATGTCATCGATCCTAATTGTGTGGATGGATGCCCATGATGTCAATGAGTGTCTGGTCCAGACTAGATTGTTTACATACCGCGGTCATATAGCTGGGATATTGCTGATTGTGGCGTTAAACAACAAACAAACAAACAAACAAACAAACCGTGCTATTCTGCGACATACACTCACGAATTTAAAAAGTGGCGAGACACAATGCGAGGAATCGTCTCTTGAAAGACGTCAACAATGAACCTGGTTGGTATTCAGGGTTAGAATAGATCCCCATCAACCTATGGTGGTCATAAGATGCGACTTAATGGATCGGATGGTCAGGCTCGCTGACTTGGTTGATGTATGTCATCGTACCCTGGTGGCGTGGTTCGTTGCTCACAATATCACTCATTGGATTGTCTGGTCCATACTCGATTATGTACAGGCCTAGTCATATAGCTGGCATATTGGAGCGCGGCGTCAAATAACTAATACCCATACTCACACACACGCGCGCACGCATACTCACACACGTGCGCGCACGCACACACGATGGATTCACGCGTGTTTGATATGCACATTCTTGTTTGACGCAACACCCACCCACCTGTCGGGGAACTCCAGGACGTTTGAACATTGTTTAACGTTGTTACAATACAGTTACTGTTGTGGTAACCGCATGTTAATCCGTAGTTAATCTCTACTAATCCCCATGTTGTACTCTTATAAACTGCACGAAGAAACATAAGGCTGGTGTACATGCGCAGTGAGCCGTTACGTTTACTTAACTCATATTAATTCACGTCCCAACAGCGACGCCATGGATCTACGGGTCAGAGAGTATCTTTAACATGCAATGTGTACGTGTTTGCTTTCATGTTTGATTCGCTCTATATAGCACTGCAAGTACTTTTTATTCAGGCCATAAAAAAACCCACTTTACTGTGTAGCCAACTCGAGTTTATAGATAGCGACCCTTATGTACCATGTTGCTCCGTGCTGTAGGACGCAGAGTTGCGTCCCGTAGTTGTTCCGGGATCCGATGACTGTGGGTTCGAAACACAGTTTCCCCTGATTATGATCCTTGGTTTGACCGTAACATATCCGGGGTGGGTTTTACTCAAAGAGTGTAGATCATCGGTTTTCATTCATCTTTGAGCTTTAAGCTGACACGCCGTGAATAGCTGTTCAAACCGGCGAAAATGTCTTCCACCCAAAATGAAAATTAGTAAACAGTCGATATTAGTCTATATTTCACGTATTTCTCATCTCTAATCATTTAACTCTCAACAACAGTTTTAATTGAAGCCCACACTCTCACCCACTGGAATGTCTGCTCTAGGTTCAAACCCAGTCAGAAAAATGTGATACGTCACGATGAGAATTGGCTGAAACTACTGTTATATTTGAATTTTCTTGTAGGGATACGTGTTAGGCTAGTTGTCGATACTTTTGAAAGACCGCGGTCCGATTCCCACATGGTTACAAAGTGTTTTCCTTTTTTTGGTTTCCCCCGCCGTGATAATGCTGGAATATAGCTAAAGCGGCGTAAAATTATACTCACTCATTATGAACTGAGTTTGAGTACCCTCATGGGTATATATCTGGAGCCCATTTTAATGTTCCCGCAGTAAAATCGCCGAAATAATGCTAAAAGCGGAGTAATACCTCGCTCACACACTCATTCATGTTTGTACGCTAACCACTGATCCCTCCTTTATAACAGGGGCGGTCGGGTAGCCTAGTGGTTAAAGCGTTCGCTCGTCACACCAAAGACCCGGGTTCGATTCCCGACATTGGTACAATGTGTGAAGCCCATTTCTGGTGTCCCCCGCCGTGATATTGCTGGAATATTGCTAAAAGCGGCGTAAAACCATCCTCACTCACTCACTCACTCCTTTATAACATCCGACGTGGGCTTCAAGAGAATCAGACGCCACTGTGAAACTTTAAACTGTCTAAAATGTCAAAACAAGATTTTAATTTGTTGTTTTTAAATAAACGTTATGTTAAAATTACCCTGAATCACCAACGGCGTAATAAATTTACATGGAAACGAACAAGCCATGGTTGTTCTGTCGTTGCCGTAACGCTCTTATGCACATTCATTTCTTTTTAAATTAAGCTGTATGTAATAGTAATGGGAAATATGGGACGTTAGGTTTGCACTAATAAGAGCCCCTCTGAGAATGTATTGACATCCCCGTGCCCGAACACCCGTGAAGATCCGGGACAGAATAGGTATTCAGAAACCCATGCTTGCCGTAAATGGCGACTATGCTTGTCGTAAGAGGCGACTAACGGGATCGGGTGGTCAGGCTCGCTGACTTGGTTGATGCATGTTATCATGTCCAGATTCAATGAAGTGCAGATCGCCGTCGTATAGCTGGAATATTGCTGAGTCTGGCGTTAAACAACAAACAAACAAACAAACAAACAAACCGTCGAGACGATGAAAATGTTGATGTTCGACGTCATGTGGAGTAATAGATGTTAGCTTTCAATAGACTGGTTTCGCCTAGCTGCATTGGTTGTTATCTATCATGTTCATCATTATTTTTTAAAAGCCTTTTTTTTTTGCAAAATACGAGACATTGGAATATATTAGACGAATACAAAAGGGGGAGATTTTCCGTTGAGTGGACCCAGTGTGTCAGCGCGATCATGCGTATATACAGTGAAGAACTGTGTATGTTGAGGACATGGTTATCTCCCCTGTTTGGTGAATTGAGGGGAACATTGTTAGAGTGCTAATCAGACACTCAACGAAGACAGAGACTTGTTGTAACCGAGACCTCAGTATAGCCAAGGGCTTGTTAAAACAGGACCTTAATATTACCAGGGACTGTTACAATCAGGATCTCAGTATAGCCAGTGATCATTATAATCAGGTCCCCAATATGACCAGGGATTGTTACAACCAGGATCTCAGTATAGCCAGTGATCATTATAATCAGGTCCTCAATATGACCAGGGATTGTTACAACCAGGATCTCAGTATAGCCAGTGATCATTATAATCAGGTCCTCAATATGACCAGGGATTGTTACAACCAGGATCTCTGTGTAGCCAGTGATCATTATAATCAGGTCCTCAATATGACCAGGGATTGTTACAACCAGGATCTCTGTGTAGCCAGTGATCATTATAATCAGGTCCCCAATATGACCAGGGATTATTACAATCAGGATCTCAGTACAGCCAGTCGCCATTTTAATCAGGTCCTCAATATGACCAGGGATTGTTACAACCAGGATCTCAGTACAGCCAGTCGCCATTTTAATCAGGTCCTCAATATGACGAGGAATTGTTACAACCAGGATCTCAGTATAGCCAGTGATCATTATAACCAGGTCCTCAATATGACCAGGGATTGTTACAACCAGGACCTCAGTATAGCCAGTGATCATTATAATCAGATCCTCAATATTGACCAGGAATTGTTACAACCAGGATCTCAGTATATATAGCCAGTGATCATTATAATCAGGTCCTCAATATGACCAGGGATTGGTACAACCAGGATCTCAGTATATATAGCCAGTGATCATTATAATCAGGTCCTCAATATGACCAGGGATTGTTACAACCAGGATCTCAGTTTATATAGCCAGTGATCATTATAATCAGGTCCTCAATATGACCAGGGATTGTTACAACCAGGATCTCAGTATATATAGCCATTGATCATTATAATCAGGTCCTCAATATGACCAGGGATTGTAACAACCAGGATCTCAGTATAGCCAGTGATCATTATAATCAGGTCCTCAATATGACCAGGGATTGTTACAACCAGGATCTCAGTATAGCCAGTGATTATTATAATCAGGTCCCCAATATGACAAGGGATTGTTACAACCAGGATCTCAGTATAGCCAGTGATCATTATAATCAGGTCCTCAATATGACCAGGGATTGTTACAACCAGGATCTCAGTACAGCCAGTCGCCATTTTAATCAGGTCCTCAATATGACCAGGAATTGTTACAACCAGGATCTCAGTATAGCCAGTGTGATCATTATATAACCAGGTCCTCAATATGACCAGGGATCGTTACAACCAGGACCTCAGTATAGCCAGTGATCATTATAATCAGGTCCCCAATATGACAAGGGATTGTTACAACCAGGATCTCAGTACAGTCAGTGGCCATTTTAATCAGGTCCTCAATATGACAAGGGATTGTAACAACCAGGATCTCAGTATAGCCAGTGATCATTATAATCAGGTCCCCAATATGACAAGGGATTGTTACAACCAGGATCTCAGTACAGTCAGTGGCCATTTTAATCAGGTCCTCAATATGACCAGGGATTGTTACAACCAGGATCTCAGTACAGCCAGTCGCCATTTTAATCAGGTCCTCAATATGACCAGGAATTGTTACAACCAGGATCTCAGTATAGCCAGTGTGATCATTATATAACCAGGTCCTCAATATGACCAGGGATTGTTACAACCAGGACCTCAGTATAGCCAGTGATCATTATAATCAGGTCCTCAATATGACCAGGAATTGTTACAACCAGGATCTCAGTATATATAGCCATTGATCATTATAATCAGGTCCTCAATATGACCAGGGATTGTTACAACCAGGATCTCAGTATATATAGCCAGTGATCATTATAATCAGGTCCTCAATATGACCAGGGATTGTTACAACCAGGATCTCAGTATAGCCAGTGATCATTATAATCAGGTCCTCAATATGACAAGGGATTGTTACAACCAGGATCTCAGTATAGCCAGTGATCATTATAATCAGGTCCTCAATATGACCAGGGATTGTTACAACCAGGATCTCAGTATAGCCAGTGATCATTATAATCAGGTCCTCAATATGACAAGGGATTGTTACAACCAGGATCTCAGTATAGCCAGTGATCATTATAATCAGGTCCTCAATATGACCAGGGATTGTTACAACCAGGATCTCAGTATAGCCAGTGATCATTTTAATCAGGGCCTCAATATGACCAGGGATTGTTTCAACCAGCATCTCAGTATAGCCAGTGATCATTATAATCAGGTCCTCAATATTGTCAGGTATTGTTATAATCGGGACCTCAATATAACCAGGATTTGTTTTGGTTTGTGTGTTGTTTAACGCCGCACTTAGCAATTTTCCATCTGTGTGATGGCGGTCTGTAAATAATCTAGTCCTGACCAGACTATCCATGAGCATCGATCTACGCAATTTGGGATACGATGACATGCATCAACCAAGTCAGCGAGCCTGACCAGCCGATCCCGTTAGTTGCCTTACGACAAGCATAGTCGCCTGTCCTGGTGTACCTATGGCGACTCAAGACGTCAATACATTACAGTTTGCGTACACAAGATTCATTACGATGTGCTTTGTATGCAGAGTTGCGTCCTTAGTAGTTCCCGGGTCCGATGATTGTGGGTTCGAAACAAAGATTTTCCTTGATTATGAACCTTGGTTTGTCAGCAACATACCCGGGTTGGTTTTACCCAAGGCATATACGTGTCTATGAGCTTTAAGCTGACACGCCGTGAAAAGCTGTTCACACCAGCGAAAACGTCAAACCCAAAATGAAAATTAGTAAACAGTCGGTATCTGTCTGTATTTCACGTATATCTTATCTCTAATTTACGCGAGAAGATCCATGACATGCCTCAACCAAGTCACAGCGCATAAATAAGGACCTCGGTTTAGCCATGGATTTTTGTAATCAGTACCTCAATATAATCAGGGTTTGTTATAGTCAGGACCTAACTATAACCAGGGGCTGTTACAACCAGGATCCTAATATAGGCAGGGGTTGCTATAATAGGTTCACTCCCAATTGTCAGACATCTCATTTGTCAGACAACCCAATCGTCAGACAGACCAGTCAAGTGTGAGCAGTGCAACTGTCTGGTCTTACCTACTAATTATTGAGCTTTTCCCGTGGCTGGTTTTCGCAGAGTTGAGTACATAGGGTCTGAAAGAGAAATCCCACAAGCATTCCTTGATGGGATCACTTACTCTAAGAATCCAGAGGCCAGACCACACACTGGAGATGTATCACCAAGACCTGCCGTGGGAAATGTTCCACTGTTGGGGACTTCCTTAATGGTGTCTCGGACCACTGCCATCCATACACCTAAAGATCAGACTCCTGTCAAGTTTGACAGTACGGGCGAGGGAAGAAGCAACACCGGTCCAGACTATCTACAATGCAGAAGTAGTTCGCCAGACTCCAGATTCTTCACTTTGCTGAAAACAGAGGTACAGCATACTCTCAACCGACCCTGCTACCGTACTGACAGACTTTGAAATGGCGGCCATTCGAGCAATCGAATGTGAATTCCCAACAGCAGACATCAAGGGGTGTTTCTTCCACTACACCCAGGCTATAGGGAGGGAGACTCAAGACCTCGGCTTAGCTGTCCAGTATAAGGAAGATCCGCAGTTCCAGAGCTGGATACGAAAGCAGCTGGACTTCCCCTTCTTCCTCTTCCTGAGGCGCAAGAAGCCTGGCTGGAGGTGATGGAAGACACCTGAGGTGGCAAGCGTCTTTTGCAGTAATGTCATGACTACTTCAAAAGGTGTGATTTATGGTATGATTTGATGATTAAAAGTGCATAATACACCTATCCTGTAAAATTCCTCAAAATGTGTGTTTTCTGGGCCCCGTTCCTCAAAGCGATCTTAGCGCTACGATGATCGTAAGCCTATGTTAAAGTATGGGACTTACGATCACCTTAGTGCTAAGATCGGTTTGAGGAACGGGGCCCTGGTCTGTTCCACTTTAAAGAAAGGTAAACAGGGAACTATTGCTTGACTGACCAACCTTGACTAATCCTGGTATACGCTGTCTGACAAATGGGACGTCTGACAATTGGGAGGTTACCTTATAATCAGGACCTCAGTAGACGAGGGATTGCTATAATTAAGGTGAGGTGAGGTGAAATTGGGTTTAACGTCGCGTCCAAGATTATTGCACTTATATAGCGACGTGCATGCACGTGTATGTGTGTGTGTGGCTGCTTGTACTAGTCCGGACTGATGCCGATTTATAGTGCTAGCTCACTGAGATACCATGCCGCAGTTTAACATGAATACCCCACTCAGACACAGTATACTGACTCCGAGCCGACCAGTCCTTGTTTTAGCCCCTTAATGCCGAGCGCCAGACATGGTAACAACAAGTACAATCTTTTAACGTCTTTTGGTATGACGCGGCCTGGGATCGAACCCTGGACCTTCCGCTCTCCGGGCGGACGCTCTACCACTAGACCACGGAGGCGGTCTGCTATAATCAAGGCTCGGCTACAAAATAAGGAGCACGATAAAACAAGGACCACGTCTTAGTCAGGTCTAATCCTATATTTTAACTCAGACTAACAACACCCGTATGTATAACGCTACGTGCAACACTCTTTAACGGCTTCAGAAGCCACTCTCGAGTACCCCTATACTGAGGAAATGGTCCTTTCCAGTAGCGGGACGACCCTTGACTTCGTTTACCTTCCTAAATACAGCCAGGTGAGCTACAGCATAAAATGCAATCGATTATGATTGCTGGGCCAATCAAAGTTATATTTAGATTTTGTTTAATATTCTTTTTGCGAAGAACTTTAAAAAGGTAAGTGTATTTAGCCAGTCAGACCTCACGTCCTGGGTGGCGTTGCACAGCTGACTTTATTATCCACATAAGCAAAGTTAAACGAGCTAATAAAATATGATATACGAAGCACACAGTTTGTTTACGTAATGTACACTCCATTGTTCACGTAATAAAGACATCCCAGGTCTTGATAAGTTAGCGTAATATCTATATCTCTATATAGAGAGGCAGTTGATTGAACGTACTTGCACAACGTGATGACTTTATACACGTTGACGGTATTTATCGTAAAAAATATATTTCCCTTTGCTAAGTGTTATGAAATGGTTCTATACTTTTTTTCACAATCGTTGTTCTGTTTTTGCAATGAAAAGTGTCTGTCACAACACTGAACAACAATACACCACATAGCAAAGACATCGGGAAATTGTAAAACATTAAAGCGATCTTTTGAACTGTAGTGTGACTGTTAACTAATACGAAAAAACGTGCTGTTTTGTTAAACCATACTGAAAGGCAAAAGAAAGCATACACTTGAAAATTGGATTTGACCAAAACACTACAAACATTATCAAAACGTCTCGAGGCTGAAAACAATCGCCGAAACACTGCAAACTTAATGTCCTAAACACAACTATGATAATCGCATAAAAAAACATCACCATCGAATAGCCTTTTCATGTTTGTTTCATTTTCAAACATAGAGGTGAGGTGAGGTGAAATTGGGTTTAACGTCGCGTCCAAGATTATTGCACTTATATAGCGACGTGCATGCACGTGTGTGAGTGTGGCTGCTTGTACTAGTCCGGACTGATGCCGATTTATA